CATATGTTATTTTGAAGAGAGACAAGGTAAATTTAAAAATTACATAAACTTAGATATACCAGTGCTATGTAGAACTTTACTGTTAATCCTGTAGGAATGCAACAGGGCACAAACTGTTACGAAGTAGTTGTTGGATATATGTATATTGATGTAATAAACTAATGATGCTGTATTGAGGCTACTAAATTTTTGAATAGAATATTGGGAGAACAAACTATATAAAAAGTTTAAAAGGAACAATACCTTGAGCTCAAATAGGGCCAGGAATAATTCATATTCTAATCAATCAAAATGGAAAATTATAGTTTCTGGAGTATTGGATAGTATAACTCAGAAGGGTTTTGTCCCAGTAGTGGGTCAAAATTAGCCAAACTAAATGCTGTTCTGGTACCCTATAACAAAACCTAGAGCGTGACCTGAAAGGATGAACACGTTTGCAAATAACCGCATCCTAGAAGCAAGCTCAGGAATGTGTTTAGAAATACAAAATATCTAATACTCGATAGGTATAAAACCCATCCGTCTACTCAGAAATTCCAGGCATATAAAGAAGCAAGAAAATATGACCCACAATAAAGAAACAAATCAATTAATAGATCCAGAAGTGACAAAGATAATAGAATTAGTGGACAGAGACATTAAAACTGTTACTTCGACTGTATTTTATACAGTCAAGAAGGTAGAGAAAACATGTTAGAGACATGAAAGATGTAAAAAAGATCCAAATCAGACTTTTAGAAGTAAAACTATAATGTCTGACATGAAAAATGCACTGGATGGAATTAACAGCAAAAGTAATTGCTGAAAATTTCCACATTTTATGAAAAATAAAGACACACATCCAAGAAGCTTAACAAATCTGGAGCACAAGAAATATGAAGAAGATTATACATTATAGTGAAATAGCTTAAAATCAGTGTTAAAGACAAAAACCTGAAAAATAGCCAGAGGGGAAAAGAGCACATTACATATAGAAGAAGAAAGATAAGGATGGCAGGAGTCATCATTGTATCTCATTGGAAACAGTGAAGCCAGAAGATAATGGTTCAGAATCTTTTAAGTACTGATAGCAAAAACTGTCATCTGGAACTCAGTACACACCAGAAATTTATTTCCAAAGTGGAGATGAAATAAACAGTTTTCCCAGACATGTAAAAGCGAGATAATTCATCATCAGCAGACCTGCATTACAAGCAATGTGAAAAGATGTCCTTAGGCAGAAGGAAAACTATACCAAAGGGAAATCTGGATATGAATCTGAAAATGAATACAGAGTATCAGAGATGGTAATTATGTGAATAAATATAAATTACTCTTATAATAATATTTAAAGTAACAATAATAAATGCATTTTGAATTAAAAGTTAATAACAGGAGGGAGCAACATTGTTGTAACTAGTTTTTTTTTGTTTTGGGAGATGCGGTCTCACTGTATTGACCAGACTGGCCTTGAACTCTTGAACTCCAGTGATCCTCCTGCCTCAACCACCCAAGTAGCTGGGACTTGAGGCACGCACCCCTGCACCTGGTTCTATTGTAAGGTTCTTAAACCATACCTGAATTGGTATGGTATCATTTGAATTTGACTGTATTAAATGAATTAAAAATGTATACTTATAAATTCTAAAGCTATCACTGAAATAACAAATATATAGTTGATCAACAAAGGAAATAAAATGCAGTAATAAAAACAGCTCAGCTAACCCAAAAGAAGGTAGAAAAAGAAGACAACTAGAACAAAGAATAGATGATATGGATAGGAAACTAATAGCAAGATGATTGAATTATATCAGTGAGCACATTAAATGTAAGTTGTGTAAATGTCTCAAAAGGCAGTTGTTAGAATGAATTAAAAAAAAAGGTACAAGAAATCTACTTTAAATATGAAGATACAAAGGTTAAGTAAAGGGATAGAGTAAGATATTTATATAGGTACTTTAATTATTTTCATTATTGCTAGCCAGGCGTTAATGAAAATAATTAAAGTCGCTATATAAATATCAGACTAAGATGTCAGAGCCAAGACTATTACCAGCAATAAAGAAGATTGTTTCATAATGATAAGCAGATTAATTCATCAGGAGGACATAATAGTCCCTGACATTTATGATCTAATAATAGCTTCAAAAGTCTTGAAGCAAGAATGTTAAGAACTGGAAGGAGAAATAGACAAATTCACACTTAGAATCAGAGACTTCAGTACCCCTCTCAATAACTGATATGAAAGTAGAAAAATCAGTAAAGATATAGATGACTTGAGCAACACTGTCAAATAACATATCCTAATTGACATTAATTGTACACTTCACCCAACAACAGTAGAATGTGCCTTCTTTTGAAATAAGAATGGGTCATAAAATAAGCCTCAATAAATTTAAAAGGATTTCAGTCAGACAGTGTGTCTTTTCTGACCACAGTGGAATTAACTGGGAAGTTAGTAACAGAGAGGTATCTAGGAAATCTCCGAATATTGGGAAATTAACATATTCCAACTAGTTCTTGGGTCAGAGAAGAAAATGAAAAAAGAAATTACAAAGAAATTATTGAACTGAATGAAAATTAGAACACATCAAAATTTGTGGCATGCTACTAAAGTATACATAGAGACATTTATAGCACTAAATATTTGTATTAGAACAAAGGTCTTAGTTCAATGACTTTTAGTTTCTTCGTTAAGAAATTAGAAGAAAAAGAAAGAGAAAATTAAAACCCATAGTATGTAGGCAGGAAATAAGAGAACGAGGACCAATGAAATGAAAAATAGTAAAATTATAAAGGAAAGAAAGATTGGCAGAGTGCGGTGGCTTATGCCTGTAATGCCAACACTTTGAGAAGCTGAGGCAGGGAGACTGCTTGAGCCCAGAAGTTCAAGACCATCCTGGGTAACATAGACTCCATCTCTACCAAAAAATAAATAAAAACCCCAAACTGGCTTTTTAGAAAATCAAATTTGCAAGACTCTTGTCAGAATAATCAGATAGAAAAGACACAGTATCAGGAATGAGAGCTTTATCTTCACTTTAGATTCTTCAGATGTTTAAAAGATGATAAATACTATAAACACCTTTATGCCAATAAATTCAACAAGTTAAATGAAAGGGCCATATTACTCGAAAGGCATAAACTACCAAAGCTCACTCAAGGTGGGGTGGGGAGATAATATGAGTAGTAATTTATCTATAAAATAAATTGAGTTTGTTTTAAAAACTTCCTCTCAAAACTTCAAGCTCAGATAGATTTGCCTGGTGAATTATACCATACATTTAAAGAAGAAATACTTGTGATCCTGTGCAAAGTGTTCTAGAACATTGAAGAGGAGAGAAAATTCTTTCCAACTTACATGAAGCCATAGCAGTACCCAGAAACCCAAACCAGAGGAAAACAAGAAATCTGTAGTCCAGCATCTCTCATGAACACAGATACAAAGATTCTTAATAAAATATTAAATAGAATTTAACAATATATGAAAAGAACATTGCATCACTCAAAGAGAGTTTATTCCAAGAATGGGTTGTTGGTTTGATATTTGAAAGTGAGTCAGTATAATTCATATTAGCAGACGAAAAAGGAGAAATCATATAGTCATCTCAATAGATGCATGAAAAACATTTGGCAAATCCACCATCTGATAAATGCCTTATACAAAGGGAGTAGGGGAGAACTCTGTTAACCTGAGAACGGACATCTACAAAAAAAGTTCTGTAACTGACAGCATACTTAATGGTGAAAGACTAGCTTTGTTTCTAAGATCCAAAACAGGTCAAGAGTATTCTCCTCACAACTTACTGTGTTGGAGGTTCTAGGTAGTACACTAAGGCCAGAAAAGGAAGTAAAAGACATCCACATCAAAAAGCAAGAAATAAAACTGTCTTTATTAGCAGGTGATATGGTTATGTAGAATGGCCTGTGGAATTTACAAAAGAACTCCTAGGTAAATGAGTTCAGAGTGTTTCCAGAGTATGAGATTATGATCCTATTTTTGTAGTGTGAAAACTACATATCATTGAAAAATGACCGAAAGAATGTGGTTCTCTTATGTTTTTTAGGTTCCTAAATTTTCTTCGATTTTTCCTTCCATTTAGCTTTTCTAATTTTTTGAGAAGTGTTTACTTTTGTGATCATAACAGCAATAAAGTATATTGTTTTCAGAAATAAAATTTTAAGTCTCACTATGTAAGTTTAAATGTAATAGAGTTTAATAGTTTTAAGTAAGCATCTCTATTCAAATCCTCACATTTAAAACATGTAGGAGTTTACTTACATACAGTTCATGTTTTCTTATTCTGACCTGCCATTTTATACATCAGTCAGCTATGCCACCTCTCCTTGACCTCCAAAATATAAGGCATTGTGAGGACGTGTGATTGCATTCATAATTCATTTCCCCCCACATATTGATGAGTGTCACCTGTGTACCAGGTACTGGGGAATGCAGTGATGAAGAGACTTCATGGCCTCTGAAGCTTACACTTTTTCCATCTTCACCTCTTGCCATTTTCTCTCTTTGCTTATTGTATTCCAGCTATATGAGGCTTCTTTTAGTTCTTGGAAAGCCCATTCCCTCTCATGGCCTCACACAATCAAGTTTTCTCTGTCAGGGAAATGTCTTCACACCCCCACCCTCCACCCCTCAACTCCATACTCTGTTATCTTAGCTCAAATGTCACTTCCTCAGGGAAACTTCCCTTGATCTCCCTGACGGGGTCATATACTTAATAGACTTTTCCCTTCCCAAGATATATTACTGTTGTATTTAACACTTTTTGTGTGATCTCTAGTTGGAAATACTGCTGTAGGCTATTATTTCCATCACAGGTATGTTCTGCATTGTTCTACAGAAGTGGACTTTAGTTTATTTTGAGCTATTAAGTCTGTTGATTCATGTTATGATAAAACACCTTGGCCTCTGGCTGAAATACTAGCACAATCTGTGGCCAAGATTAGATGGAGCGAATCCAGTAGTTAATAATGTACCATAAACATAACTGTTGGAATTTCAGGTAACACAGGAAGAAGGACAACAGTTAGCACGGCAACTTAAGGTCACATACATGGAGGCATCAGCAAAGATTAGGATGAATGTAGATCAAGCTTTCCATGAACTTGTCCGGGTTATCAGGTAAGCAAAACATATTTTAGAAGGATGTCTTAATAAATCACTATTAAGTGTTTTTAGTAAGAAACAGGATATTTTATATAGGAGTGATTCCTTTCTAGGGATTAATGCACATGGTGCATTACAACTTTTTTTTGTTAATGTTTTGAGATGGAGTCTCTGTTGCCCAGGCTGGAGTGCAGTGGCACCCTCTGAGCTCACTGCAACCTCTGTCTCCTTGGGTTCAAGTAATTCTGATGCCTCAGCCTCCCAAGTTGCTGGGATTACAGGTGGCCACCACTACGCCCAGCTAATTTTTTGTATTTTTTAGTAGAAACAGGGTTTCGCCAAGTTGGCCATCCAGGCTGGTCTTGAACTCCTGACCTCGGGTGGTCCACCCACCTGGGGTGATCCACCCGCCTTGGCCTCCCAAAGTGCTGGGATTGTAGGCTTGAGCCACCATGCCCGACTAACATTACAGTTTTCAAGTACATATTCTAGGCACGTCTAGAATATAAAATCTAATTTAATTACAAAGTAGAAAGTACACATAGAATTTTGAAAAGAATAAATGCTGCCTGTAGTGATGACAGCAGCTAACTTTTGCATGAGAATATCTGCCAGATTCTGTGCTCAATGTTTAACATGTATTATTATATGTAATTCTCACCATAGCTCAGTAAACTGGTGTTTTATCCTAACTTTCAGAGGAGAAAACAAAGGTACAGAAAAAGAAGTAAAATAACTTGTTCAAAGTTTAGACATATTAAATGGCAGAACTGGGGCTTTAATTCAAATCTCTGATTCCAGAGCCTGTGCTCCTGGCTTTTTTTAAATTCCAACACATCTCAGGCTAAGAGTAAGCCAGGTAGTAGAGATTCAATAATCCTGCAAAGTGTGAAGTATAACATACTACACAACAAAGAATTTTTCTGTTGGATGCCCTAGGGGGCCCCTGTGGTTTAAAAAGTGTTAATGGATTCCAAGAAGCTTAAGGTGTTGGTTAAGGTCTGGTAAGAGTTACTAGATAAGTTTGTGGGTGAGAAAGATGAAGTTTCTTTAGTGAGTAGTAGCATTTGATTTATTATTTTGGGTCTTGGCGCCTGGCCCCTATTTTACACTCTGCTCTGCAGATCTGGGATTCTCTGCTAGTGAGACAGTTTGATAGGAATGTGAAGTGGGCTCGTGTTGTGTTGTGTTTTGTTTTGAGACAGAGTCTCTCTTTGTTGCCCAGGCTGGAGTGTAGTGGTGCGATCTTGGCTCACTGCAACCTCTACCTCCTGAGTTGAAGCGATTCTCTTGCCTCAGCCTCCCAAGTAGCTGGCACTACAGGTGTCTGCCACCATACCCAGCTAATTTTTTTTTTTTTTGTATTTTTAGTAGAGATGGAGTTTTACCATGTTGCCCAGGCTGCTCTTAAACTCCTGAGCTCAAGTGATCCGTCTGCCTTGGCCTCCGAAAGTGCTGGGATTGCAGGCATGAGCCACCACACTCAGGCTTCATATTTATTTTGTATCTAAGGTAAATTGGCACCTGAGCTATGGTCTTCTTGTACTTACTAGCCCCTTGCCAAAGCATTCTCTTTCTGTGAAGAAAAAAAGAAAAAGTGAAGGTTATAGATTTTTCTTTTTTAGTAGTTTGTTAAAAATCCCAGTCCCATTATTTTTTAATGGGTACAGAGTTTCAGTTTTGCCAGATGAAAAAGATCTAGAGATGGATGGTGATGGTTGGACAACAACATGCATGTACTCAATACCATCGAATATATACTTAAAAATGTTTAAGATGGAAAATTTTATGTTGTATGTATTTTACCCTCTTTCCCCATTCCAGTTCCATTTTAGTGTCAAGCAACTGATGAGGCAGTGCCTTCTTAACGTAATTATGATGGCCTTTTTGAAATGTTGTTCTTTGTTTTGGTTCTTAGGATCTCTCTTTATCCATTAGTAATTCAGGAATGAGGTGGGGAGTAGAGGAGGTTTTTTGTTTGTTTTGTTTTTAATGCCAGGCACTATTAAATATATTTAAATATCACAAGATCTTTAATCCTTACAATAACTGTTAAAGGTAGGTTGCCATTATTCCCTTCTAAAAAACTGAGGCTCAGACTAGATCAACTAACTTGTCTAATACTGAATTTAATAAGTGGCAGAATAGGGATAAAACCTGCATACTTCATAAGGGTAATTTTATATTGCACTATAATGATGAACCTTTATTCTTAAGTATGCCTTAGAATCATGGAATTTCAAATTCGGAGGGGGATTTAGAGATTACTGAGTCTGGTATTTCATCTGATTCAGAACTCATCCATTAAAGCAACTTCACAGTTCTGTTTATGCTGGTGTTGATGCATTTGTGCCCTTTTTTGGTGAGGGTAAGGAAGAGAGAAATCTTTGCTTTGTTCCTGGTTGAAGTTTATCATTGAAAAGCATCTGCACTTAAAGTGAACTTGTGCAAAAAGTAACCTGTATTTGTAATAGTAGATTACCAAGAATGCGATTATATTTTAGATTTTTTTTATCTTACAGAAAATTTCAAGAGCAGGAATGTCCTCCTTCACCAGAACCGACACGGAAAGAAAAAGACAAGAAAGGCTGCCATTGTGTCATTTTCTAGAATCCTTTCAGTTTTAGCTACCAACTGCCAGGAAAAGCCCTCATCTCCTCTTCCTCTCCTCAGTTTACATCTTATTTGGTACCTTTCTAGCCTTAGACAAATGATCACCATGTTAGCCTTAGACCAAGAAGCCGGCTAGTCAGTCCTTTCCGTGAAGCTAATACAATGGTCATTTCCAGACAAATTTAAAGGAAACACTAAGGCTGCTTCAAAGATTATCTGATTCCTTTAAAATACGTGTCTATATACACAGACATGCTCTTTTTTTAAGTGCTTACATTTTAATAGAGATGAATCAATTTTGGAATCTAAGCTGTTTGCCAAGCCGAAGCCACAGGTTGCGAAATAATTTTTAACTTTTGGAATCATACTGCCTACTGTTACTCTAAATAGAAGTATAGGGATTTTTTTTTATTGTGAATTTTTGCCTATCTTTAAAAATTTCAATGTCAGCCTTTGTTAACCTTAAATACACTGAATTGAATCTACAAAAGTGAAACATCTCAGACCTTTACTGATACTACAGCTTTTGTTTTCTGGTGGCCAAAATACCAAAATGCCTATTGTATTTATGGATTAAAAACTGCTCATAAAAGCCTGTGTTATTACTCCTACTCTTGAAGATGATAATATTCTACGTGGTCAAATATTTGGACTCATTCAGGACCTAAAACATTTCAGTGTACTTGATTTTTTAAATTTAACTCTTTTTCACAGCCACGCTAAAGGTAAAAATAGTTTCTGTCTTCCTTTTCAAGTATTTCTGGATAAGGGATTCGAAAAACTAAAACTGTTTTTGTTTGATGTAATATAAAATATGGAATTGATCTTTCCGGGGTCAGAGATGATTAATGTTTTTGCTATATACTTTTTATACATTATTTTCTTATCAAACTAGTTAACAAGTATTTTTATATGTTTGTAAGCAGATATGCTTTCACAGCATACCTTGTGTATATGTAAAGATAAGTATTTAATTCTCACTGTTCACTTTTAACTGACAAAGAAAAACAAGTGGAAACTATAGAAACTGTGGTAGAACTTTTACTTGCTGGTCTGGTCTTGGTTGTACCCATCTTTGGCCAGTCACATATCTACTCAAGAAACCTTCCCAATAGAGTACAACAGGATGAGACTCTGAAATCACTTTTAATATTCCCTGCTAGATATTGATTGTTATATCAAGTATTAAGTGTAAGCTTTTAATGGACAATTAGTATAACTGTGGATGGCATCTGATTTTGTTTTTAATTCTGTGGATTGTGTTTAAGCAATTCAATAGTATGTTCCTGATTTTGAGATGCTAAGTGGTATTGCACAGTTGTCACTTTATCAAGTGTGTACAACAGTCCCATGAAGTTTATAGAGCATACCCTTGTATAGCTTCAGGTGCTAGAATTAAAATTGATCTGTTATCACAAGATGATGCTTGATTACTCATTGTGTTAATTTAGTGGTTTCTTAAGGGAACAAGTGTTAGCAAAACTTATTTTAGTAGCTCTCTGCCTTTTTTTCCTGTGCCTTAGGGTTTGAATCTAAAAGTCAGCATTGGTCATTCAGTAGGTGGAGTGGATGTGAAACAGTTTGGTGTTCTTTGATTTCTTGAATATTTACTTAAGTCAGTGTTTCTTAAACTTTTTGTGTGTCGTGCTCCTGATAGAGAAACCCAACTTTAGAGGAAGGTGAATACATATACATCTACCCCTCTGACGATGAAACTGAAAATAGCTAAAGCCACATACAATACATTTATTTAAAGACCATGGCTCACGCCTATAATCCCAGCACTTTGGGAGGCCTAGGCGGGTGGATCACCTGAGGTCAGGAGTTTGAAACTAGCCTGACCAACATGGTGAAACTCCATCTCTACTAAAAATGCAAAAATTAGCTGGGCATGGTGGTGGGTACCTGTAATCCCAGCTACTCAGGAGGCTGAGGCAGAAGAATTGGCTTGAACCCAGGAGGCAGAGGTTGTAGTGAGCCGAGATTGCACCATTGCACTCAGCCTGGCTGACAGAGCAAAACTCCGTCTTAAAAAAAAAAAAAAATTATATAATTAAATGCTGTGCTTCATAGTATAATTATGTTGATACAGAATTCTTCCGGTACAGTTTGGTACAGTTACTGCCTAGGAAGACACCATGTTTATCCTGTGGCTTTTGATACTCTAGCACTGTCATGTATTCTTAGTAGTACTTTCAGTTGGCAAAGTTTACTTGTTCTAGGCAACTTCGGATAACAAGAGATTGCTTACATAATATCCAGATTTTATGAGCAACCAATCAACTTTTTAAAATCTCAGTTTATTTTTTTTCCCCTTCATGCTTTGCTTTGAATTATTTTTACTACATCTTCAAGTTCCATTACCTTTACGCCTCCCCTCCCCTCCCCGTCATCTTCCTCTGTCCTCCCCTTCCCCTCATCCTCTGTTCTATCTCCTTCCTCTCCCCTCCCCTCCTCCCCCTTCCTCTCCCCTCCCCTCCTCCCCTTCCTCTCCTCTCCCCTCCCCCTTCCTCTCACTCCTCCTGCCCTTTTTTTCCCCTTCTGCTTGCCCTTCCTCTCCCCTTCCCCTCCTTTTCCCCTCCCGTCCTCTTTTCCCTCTCCCCTCCTCTTTTCCCTCTCCCCTCCCTTCCCCCTTCCCCTTTCTTTACCCTGTAATGTCTCCCTCTGTTGCCCAGGTTCGAGTGCGGTGGCACCATCTTGGCTCACAGGCTCAGGTCATCCTCCCACTTAAGCCTGTTGAGTAGCTTGGACTACAGAGGCGCATGCCACCACGCCACGCTACTTTTTGTACTTTCTGTAGAGATGAGGTCTTGCCATGTTGCTTAAGCTGGTCTCAAACTCCTGAACTCAAGCTATCTGCCCTCTCAAGCCTCCCAGAGTGTTTAGATTACAGGCATGAGCCACTGTACCCTATCCCCAGAACCATTTCTTCTGCTGTTGTTTAATCTGTTGTTTGAATCTTATCTAGTGAAATTTCATTTTGGATTTTGTGGGGTTTTTATCCTCTGGAAATGATATTTGGATCTTTTTAAAAAATATATATTATGGCCGGGCGCGGTGGCTCACGCCTGTAATCCCAGCACTTTGGGAGGCCGAGGCGGGTGGATCACGAGGTCAAGAGATCGAGACTATCCCGGTCAACATGGTGAAACCCCGTCTCTACTAAAAATACAAAAAATTAGCTGGGCATGGTGTCACGTGCCTGTAATCCCAGCTACTCAGGAGGCTGAGGCAGGAGAATTGCCTGAACCCAGGAGGCGGAGGTTGCAGTGAGCCGAGATCGCGCCATTGCACTCCAGCCTGGGTAACAAGAGCGAAACTCCGTCTCAAAAAAAAAAAAAAAATATATATATATATATATATATATATTATGTTTCTCTCCTCATTGTATTCATGTATGCCTCTTAACTAGCCCCTCTCAACTGTTTTTGCAGAACATTGAGCCCTGAATTAACACACGACATATACAGCATTTGGGCTTAGTTTGCATCTAGAAAATTTGTATTGTACCTTAGCATCTAGAATGGTACAGCCATGTGCCATTTTTGGAAGGATGGAGAAAATAGTCACTCAGATAACTAGGGCTCAGTTCTGTCACAGAACCGTGATTTAGAAAGGCTACCTTGAATATTTGAACATGGCTGTTTTTAATGTTTTTGCTGATTCTATTGCTTGTGTAATTTTTGGATTTGTTTCTATTGACTGAGTTTTCTGTAGTTACAGATTGCATTTTTTGTTTTTTTCACATGTCAAGGAAGTTTTTGGTTGGATGAAGGACATTGTGTATTTTATGTTGTTGGGTGTCTAGATTTTGTTGTCGTCTTTGTTGGGCTTCGTCCTGATAGTTAATTTATTGACTGTAGTTCAGTTTGATCCTTTCAAGACTTCTTTTAAAACTAATGCAGTCTCAAGTAGCCTTTTTCCCAGGGTAGGTTAGCTCCAGTACTAAAGTATGACCCTTTTGGGGTCTCTCTCCTGAATGGCCTAAATTATCAGTTTGGCTTTTGGGAATGCAAAGAATTCCCAGCCCCGCGTGATCTCTAGGGAACCATTCTATTCATAGCTCCTGGGTCATTCTTTGCCCAACCTCCTGGAGTTTTCATCCTAGACATATGTATCTTAATATTCAGCAAAGACTCAGATTCTATGCATGTCTTTGGAGCTTTTTTTATGTGTAGCTGTCTTCTCACCACAAGTAATTCCTTTGCCTTCTAGTTGATTCAAACTTGCAGATCTTTAATGTCTCCTTTCAGCTCAGAGAAACATTTGTGTCTTAACGTGGAATCCCCATTCCCTCTATAGTCTGGAGTGTCTCCAGGCAGATGGACATGGCAGGGTTAAGGCTTATCTAACTTCTTTCCCTTCCATCAGGATTGTGGCCTTTTATTGCCTGGTGTACAATGTCTGAAAATGATTATTTAATGTATTTAGTCCAATTTTTTTGTTTATTTATTTTTCCCTGAGACAAAGCTTGCACTGTTGCCCAGGCTGGAGTACAGTGGTGTGATCTTGGCTCACTGCAACTTCCGCCTCCCGGGTTCAAGCAGTTTTCCTGCCTCAACCGCCTGAGTAGCTGGGATTACAGGCTCGTACCACCATGCCTGGCTAATTTTTATATTCTTAGAGACGGGGTTTCACCATGTTGGGCAGGCTGGTTTCAAATCCTGACCTCGTGATCCGCCCACCTTGGCCTCCCAAAGTGCTGAGATTGCAGGTGTGAGCCACCGCACCTGGCCTAGTCCAGTTTTTAAACAGTCTAGGGAGGGTAATTCTGATTCCTGTTACTCCATTGTCATTGGAACTGGAAGTCTTTCCAATTTGATGTTTACTGTACAATCAGAGGTGCCTTGTAAATTTTTAAATCTCTGACTTGAAACGTTTCTTACTAAGAGTAGCCGGTCTCATGGAATGAATAGTCCTTATCTGTGTGGCCATTTTTTCTCTATAGTTGGGTGTTGGCAACTTTTTTCATAAAGGGCTATATTGTAAGTATCATCTTGGGCTTTACAGGCTGTATCTCTGTCCCAACTACTCCACCTTGCCATTATAGCACTGAAGCAGCCATAAGCAATGTATAAATGAATGAATGTGGCTGTGTTCCAATAAAACTTAGTGTATACTGATGTTTTTGTTTCATGTCATTATCATATGTCATGAAATAGACTCTTATTTTGCAGTTGTGAAAACCATTCTGTACAAAAACAGATGGTAGGATGAATTTGATCCACAGGCCATGGTTTGCCAATCCTGCTTTATAGCACATATAGCATTTGAGGTTACATTCCCATCTTTAGAATCTCTTAAGTCTCTTTATGTGAAAGTTCTTTCAGATAGCATTTCCTGAATGCTGAATGGATGGTCATGAATTTCTGTTCTAGGTATTTTCTTTCTATATTGTTTGTTTAGAGGTTTACCGTATATCAGAGTTGGACATTTGCCCTTGTTGACATACATTATACCCTTATTGACTGTTGTATCATTTACTTTTAACATTTGATGTAACAAGGTTGTATATACTTAAAGTCTAGCTTGCTCCTCTTCTGTTTATCATCACTTGTTTTAATTCATGTTGTTTCTTTTCCCATAGCTATATGCTGTATGTAATGATCTCATGTAACAAGTAAGTAGGGGCCAAGCATGGTGTCTCACGCCTGTAATCCCAGCACTTTGAGAGGACAAGGCAGGTGGATCGTTTGAGGCCAAGACTTTGAGACCAGTCCAGGCAACATAACCAGATCCCATCTCTATAAAAAAGTAAAAATAAAAATTAGCTGGGCATGGTGGCATGTGCCTATAGTCTCCGCCACTCTGGAGACTGAAGTGGGAGGACCATTTTAACCCAGGAAGTTTGAGGCAGCAGTAGAGCTATGATCCTGCGATCAGCCTGTGCAACATAGTGAGACCTCATCTTTTTTTTTTTTTTTTAAAAGTTTTGCTCTGTTGCCCAGACTCGAGTGCAGTGGCATGATCTTGGCTCTTCCGCCTCCTGGGTTCAAGTGATTCTCCTGCCTCAGCCTCCTAAGTAGCTGGGTTTACAAGCATGTGCCACAGTGGCTAATTTATGTATTTTTAATAGAGATGGAGTTTTGTCATTTTGGCCAGGCTTGTCTCAAACTCCTGACCTCAGGTGATCCACCCATCTTGGCCTCCCAAAGTGCCAGGATCATAGGGGTGACCCACTGCACCTGGTCAAGACTCTTAAAAAGAAACCAGATAACTAACTGGCAGGTAAATAGAAGGAGGTGATAACCAAATAGTCTTTTTGAAACACATCACTTAAGGGTATTTAACCAGTGACTGCTTCTAAAATTGCAAAGTAAGTTTTAGCAAAATGTGTTTTAATTAACAATACTTGGCTGGGCACGGTGGCTCATGCCTGTCTGTAGTCCCAGCACTTTGGCAGGCTAAGGTGGGTGGA